TCTTTCCCACATGCAATGCTGCTCAGGTTCAGTGGACTACTACCATTCATTTAGCAAGTGGGTATTTTGCCCCCACAGCTAACTGCCACTGCACTAATTAAAGCAGAGAAGAGGAACCTCATTCCATGTGATCTGTTAAGTGTATAATCTTGTTTGAGTAACAGCTATTCCTTCTTTCCCTCCTCTGTTAATAAAAACAATATCAGCAGCCTCAAGTTCAAAACCAGCTTTACCTTGTTGTTTAGAAAGATTTTTTTTTTTATTAAAGTGTTGAAATTGACAAAATAAAAGGCTTTAAAACCAACTCCCCTCCCAAACCTGCACATGAAAAAAGGAGCACATACCCCCGACAGGTTCTGGGACATACTGGAGGGCTACTTTCATCTCTCCTCTGTTTTCTAGTTCGAGAGCTGCTGTTGGAGTCTGAAAGTAAGAAAACTCAAACTGTTCAGAATCTCATGTAATATGATACCCCCTTTCATAGCATCTCGCACATGAAATGAATGTGAAATGAACACGATTTGTGAAATGAAAAGCCAGCACATTTGAGTGTCCTTCAGTGCACAGCAAAAAATGGCACCTTACATGCTGCATATGGATATCAGTTACAATTTACCAGTACAAAATCTTTCAGAGCAAGTGGTACAGGAACAAAGCATTTTACTGAAGTATTACAGCATGAAGCAGAGCTTCACTGCTATGAACCTGCATTCTCTAGTCCAGGGGTGGGCAATTATTTCGGGCAGAGGGCCACTTACTGAGTTTTGCCAGACCATCAAGGGCCACATGACAGGCAGCCTGGGGCAGATAAATATGAATTTTCTAAATTTTTTAGGGGCCCCGCGGGCCGGATAGAATGGCCTGGCAGGCCACATCTGGCCCGCGGGCCGCATTTTGCCCACCCCTGCTCTAAGTCCCTCCCGTCTTCCTAACTGCGCAGGAAAAGGCCGGAGTTTGAAATAAGGTATGGTAAATGGGTTAAACCTAAGACAGGTGCGTCAAACACAGCCAGATCCAGCACACAGAGCCTCTTTATCTGGCCTGCTAAGCTCCCTGAAGTTGGGGGTCATGGCCAGCTGTAGAATGGGATCAGCAATTATGGGACCTCTCTCACTGGCACCAAAACCCTTCCTGTCGCTGGCACACCCACTGACTTGCTGGCCATGACAGCCACCCGTACGCCTCAGGCTGGATCTGACCCATGAGGATCCCAATGGTCTAGATCTGGCCTGGGGCTCCAGTTGAGTTTGACACCCTTGCCTTAGACCATAGGCAGGTGCCTCCTTTCCAACTATATTAATAAAACTATAGGGAGAATGGTACGTTGCCTTCAAAAGATTTTCTATTCTTTTCCCCTTCAGGTGTTGCATCTAAAGTAAGAATATATGATCTCTCAAGCATGGATCTTGTCTCGGGTCTGTTAAGGAGCACTGAACCTACCTTTGGTTACCATCAAAATAAAGTATCTAGTTTCATTCAATAGTGATATGACTCTTCTTTGTGGCGGTAGGGGGCAGGAAGAACTATCAATACAGGGAAAAAAAATAAATAACTGTCTCAAATTGCAACAGTGGAAATTTAGGTTGGATATGGGGAAGAACTTTCTCAGTATGAGGGTAGTTAAGCATTGCCTAGAGGAGTTTGAAATCTCCATCCTTGGTAGCTTTTAAGAATAAGTTAAACATCTGTCTGGAATGGCTGAGTCAGGGCTGATCCTACCCTGAGCTGGAGATTCCTTTCTTTCCATCCCCATTTCTCTGTCTAACACACCTCAACCATGTTGAAAACATAAGTAAGGAGATACAATATTTGTTACCATACTTTCTTAGGACTACTTTAGTTTGAAAATGACTCATTTAGCTTTAAGTTAAGTAACAATAGAGTTGCTTAAAAAAGTAAATCCAAACTGATACCTGGCTACTTTAAAAAAATGGCTTATTTTAAGTTTTGATTGAACAGACTCAAGCAGCCTCTAAACCAAATTTTGGGTATCCATAGCACCTTTGGAACTGGTTCAATAAGACAGCCTTTTTAGCTAAACCACTCAAACTTCCTAGTACAGACATACCATTAGATCACATAGGAAATCATTTTAATACAGAATCTACATAGATTATCTGTATGTGCAGCAGGATACAACTGATGAACTGTGCCCCCATTTGTGCTGGGTAGCATACACAGCACAACATTTATGAAAGTAAATTTGGGTTCTCATTCCCTGGGCTGGTAGAAACTTTCTGCGTCTCTTCAGAGGCATCTGACTGGGCAGACACTCACTAGAAAACCTGAAGGTCCCAATGCCTGTCTGGAAGAAGGACCACCTATAATTACACCACCCCCAACTGGACTGGGTAGAGAGGGTGAAAAGGGAAAGGCTCCAAGTCTAGACAAATGGAAGCCTATGGTTAGAAGTTACATAGGCCCACATACATATTAGCTCATATATATATATATAAAAAATATAAGAACTTACCCTTGGTTTAAGTGGGAACCAGTTCATCTGCTTCTTCACTCTGTCATTCCAGTCCCACGTTCCCAAATCCACCTCCACCTCACCCAGGAAACTATTGCGTCCAAATATATCATTGTGCCAGACGGAGAGATTTAGCGTTTGGTTCTTTAAGAGGTCCTTGTCAATTTTATACTGCAGAGTGAAACAACAAAATTGGAGTTTAAATAAACCAATAATTACCCCCAGAGTCTGGGAACAATGAAACTGGAAAAAATCCAGTTGTACTAAGACATTTTTCTCTGTTCATTTAGCAACCCATTTTCAGTCTAGAGATGCAAACTACGTTGCAAGCCTTAGCATTTCTTTTTAGATACTTAAATTAATGTTTTGCTTAGGTTTGTGAAAATTACATACACCATCAGAGCTGTAACTATGGATATTTGGCTTTTCATTTTGAAAGAGATGTGTAAACATTTAATCTTCAACGTTTTCTTTTGAGCTAGGTATTTCTGTTTCACAGACATGGAAATTAAGTCAGACTCAGCATCAGAAGGGTCCTCAGTGTCATCCGTGCAAGATTCCCTGTTTCTAAGCTGCTCCTGCTAAATTGTAAAGCTTAAGCAACAGGTTAATGGCAAACTTAGGTGGGAACGTAAGGCTTCCCAATTTATAGTGCTCTAAACTCGAGATCGTATTTCCTTCTGGTCTCATTTTTTAAAAGAAAGCCAATTCTTCTGGTGACAACTGAGATGCAACATGCACAAGGCCAGTGACATAAATGAACCAAAAATACTGAACAATATGAAAGAGCTTGTGAATGGGACCAGTTGGCAGGGCCTCAGGATATTTTTGCCACCATCTTGCTCTGTGCCTCAGTTTCTCCTGTGTGCAAAATGAAAATATATCTTCTTTTGGGACATGTTTTGCAGTTTGTGGAGGTCAAGTGCCAAGTATTATAATTCCTTTATTACTGTTCTTCTCATCTCCCCAAATTCCAATAATGAAGTTCTGAATCCCATGTCTCAAACTCAAAAAGACAAATTTTACATCACACTTGAAATGCTCAGCTGCCAGAACTTGAGTCTGTTTAGGATATGAATACTAAAATATTTGGGATTTAAATTTTCAAGATTTACACATATAGCATTTAGTTGAATAAATACCCGCAGTATTTCATTAAAGACAGGATTCACTGTTTTCTTTCTCACAGAGGTCTTCCTTTTGCCCATCTTGTATTTCTCTGGCAGCAGGTAACTTTTTACATACCTACACAATCAAAAGATGGATAAGGACTTCAAAATATCTTGCAAAGCTGTAAGACAATATTTTTTTTCTCCCAAATTGCACAAAACCCAAGATGAAACTATTTGACAGTAGAAGAACAACCCCCAATTACAATAAAGTTGGCATAACATGTTCTCCCCAGCATTTAAGTCATTTGGCATTTGCCACTTTAAGGAATTTTCTCAGTAGTCAATCTCAGAATAAGCAGTAATAGTTTGTGCATTATGTAAAGTATAAATGCACACATCTGTAACTACAAAAGTTGGAGACAAGAGAACACTGAGATCATCTTGTCTCCAACACTTGTGAATGCAGAGTGTCTGTAAGAAGTGGTTTTATATATGTAAAACAACCAAATTCATTTAGATATGTCGATTTATGTTTTGTATCAATGAGGTTTTGCAATGGAGAATATTCATCTGAGCATCAAAAATGGAATTCAGAGCTCTGAATAAATTGAGCTTCCCACATTATTCTCTGCCATGAAAGTAAATGGATCTATAGTTGCAGTGTATGTCAGTGGTGCTCAACCTTTTGGCCCTACATGCCCAGATTTTACCCAACTGCATTGCACTCCAGATGCCCCACAAGCCCAGATCCCACACTACTCCGTCTCAGACCCACACACCCAACTCTGTGCATAGGGCCAGAGTCTCCAGCCTCCAGGTCTACTCACAAGTTCGGAAATTTAGCAGCAGGGGAGTGGCAATTAACACTGCTACTGCTCCCCTGCTGCCAATTTTTTAGACCTATAAGGACCCCACAGGCCAGAGGACATGGCTCCATGGGCTGGGGGTAGAGCATCCCCAGTGTATGGGATTTCTGACCTGTGCAATGGATACACCTTTGTTTTCTCTACACTCTGTAAAGTCAAGCAACCAATCAAGATAGCAGCTTACGTGCTCTTAGGGAAGCTTATATTTGTTATTGCTCCCTAGCCAAGGTAATGGTAATACTGACAAAAAGATTCAATTTGCTGTTTCCACACACAACAACGAAACTTGTCTCAGGAAGAACTGCAACCACGATTACACTTACGGGTCCGAACGCTGCTTCTTAACATCTGCAATTGCCAAGTCTTTACACTGACAAATAAAAATATGGAGCTCCTTCAGCTGTTCTACATAATCTATAGCAAACTGAATGTTCCCTTTCACATCCACATTGCCAAAGTCTCCACTGTAGATGCTCATCACACTTCCGCTCACCTGTACCACGCAAAAGGAAAACATGCTTAGTTCTTGTTTCTGGTCAGATGTGTGTTACGTTATCAGAATGCAAAATGTTTAAGTTCAGAGAAGAAATTTACCTGTACAGAACTGAGAGACAGTCAAGAAACAACTGCACTAAACCCATGTTTAACCATAACAGACTTTAAGCAATCCAATAAGAAATAGTATCCATTTTTTAAGTTTTTATAATAAAAGAATACTGATGTTTGGAAGACCCTGAAAAATCTCAAGCAAAATGTAAGTGCAAACATATTTACCAACATATTTACAAAGAAAGAGACCCCACCCCATATACAGTGTTCTTTAGTTAAAAGTTTTGGTATTACTGCCTCTCTAGCCATTCTTCCCCACAGAAATTGGGACAGATACTATGGTGATGAGCACAGTATGCGTGCCAAAAATAGAAGAGAAGGGAAAAAATATGCAGTGTGTCTACATGACAGAGGTGGATGGAAAGGGAAGAGAGAGGTACAAATAAAGAGATATTAAAAAGCCATTGATCATTCAAATCTCTTTTTTTTAAACTCTTCTTTGCTATGAGGCCAAGGCTAAACTCAATGATTTTTGAGCTGTCAGCGTGCTGATAGCATTGTTAATCATTCTAACCAGCTTCCTGGTGCTTTCTGTACCCTTTCCCCATCCCCATCTATCTGTGCATGTCATCTCTGACCTTTTAAGTTGCAAAGTCTCAAGGTAGGAACCACTTTCTTCTGCATGCTTATAGCACCTTACATCATTTGGGTTCTAGCTACTGTAGCATTTCCCAAACTGTGGCCATAGCAAGCAAGTGTCCTGTGGATCAGCTGTCCCTCTACCACCACCATTTTACAATGAAAAATTCTGATAAGAGCACATGATGGGTCTCAAGAAATTGAGGGTCAACAGATGACTTTTTTCCAAAATATTTGGAAACCACTGGCCTAAGGCTGCTAGATGTTACAGTAATATGAAAAGTAATTTCACTCAATAATAATAAAAGGTATTTGTAATGCCATAATCCTTTTTAAAAAAAGAAACATATAATTTGTTAAATTTATACACTGCCTGAAGTCAAAGAAATAGAGCATTAAACAACATTAGACTCATACAACAGTGATGGAAGGCTACAGAGAAAGATACAAAGGAATTACAGTGACACAGACAAAACTAGCAAAAGCAAAGTGCCATTAAAACAAAGCTTTGGTTTACATACAGAAGACAAGGATGCCATGCCAGAGGAACTGCTAAGATTGGTTAGAGAGCTGGGGCTCTTCTTGATTTTGCCAAAGGAATAGCTGCTTTCTGATGCTGTATCTGTCTCTCTGTCATCACTCTACAAAACATCACACAAAGAAAGTCTGTGTATGCACTTAGTCACAAAGAACATTTAAAAAAGTGTCAGAATTTTAAAAAGCAGATGTGAAAATGCTGGGAGTCAGTGGATACCAGGAATCGCATGCCCTAGTGGGTACTGCATAATTCCTTAAATTAGGTCATGTTGCTTTTTTGCATGCAGCAAGTTAAATTTTGCTAAAACAAGAATAAGGTAAAGGGAAATTTTCAGGTGAAAGCCAGGCATTTTTTTTTTTAAATTGCTACCTGGTTAAAAATCGTTATCAAACTCACAGAAGGGGCAAAGTAAAAAATATTTTTACTCTAAGCATGAACAATTACAGTAGAAACAGTTTCACTTTTTCCATGCATTAGTATAGTGAAATTATCACAATTCTAGAAAGTTTAACCAATCCCCGTATACTATGTGCTGTCATGTCTCACTCATCTCTTAAAGTAGCCATCATGCTAAAGAGAATGAAAGACAATCAATGGAAGATGCTCTGATGACTGGTTGCAATTATGAAAAGAATTTGTTGCAAGAGAGGAAGCACAGCCTAGCAGTTACATCAAGAAATATGCATTTTGCTGTACTCAGCCACTCTTTGGCCACACAATAACAGCTACCTTGCCTATGTTGCCCTGCTGTATAACACAGAAAACAATGTCTGCCCACTTCCATAAACTCCCCTGGAAATTCCTCTGCATGTCATTGTATAAAATATGATGAACTCCAACTGTGGGCCACATGGGTATATACAGGTTTAGCAAGGGAAATTCCCTGTCCCCTTCCCCCTCCCCTGTGGACTTTTGAAATTCTGAGCTGCTCCCACCTCAGACTTCCCATCAACACTGATTAGGAGAAGAGACTTAAATTAAAACAACTGTGGGTTCAAAAAGTTAATATTTTCTGAAAATAAATATAGAATGGTCAAACAGCACTTGACTCAAAGTGTTTACAGATGAAAGAAATAGATCTAGACTGAGTGATGTGCCTAAGGCCACCCAGCAAGCCAGTGGCAGAGTAAGGATTGACCCCCAATGTCTCCTCACTCCCAATCCTGTCTTTAATCCACTTGACAATGCTTGCTCTTTCACATGGCTGTATCAGACCTAGGAAATATCCAAGGAGCAGCTGCAAGTTAAGCAGAGATAGTTATCAAATGTACACGCAAGTACATTTTGTGAAGGCAACATACGCATGTGTTTTGAAAGCTTAGTTCAGTGACAAATAAGGGACTTTGCTGCTCTTTGTATTTGGAGTACAGGTTATTTTTTTGGATAGTCATCCCTCCTTTACCATAATGGTAAGAAACTAATACCAAAATATATGGTACAAACATTGGAATGACAAAGCATTACAAAAATAAAAATGAGGAATTATTCTTTTATAATTAGTCCCGGAGATGGGCTGGAATAAGCAATAAAGATCTACTCCATGTTACCTGTGTGGAGTCAACCTTGATCACCGTTTTAGCTATCAATGTGCATTATATAATCATAGTTTCACACTCATTATTGACAAGAATGCACATAGTGATGATACCAAAGACTAAGAGATGCTAAGAGTTTTGGCTGGGTCCAATCTTCAGCTTCTAGGTTTTTAATAGGCCTAGTGGCCTCACATCATTTGAGATTTCTCTCAGCATTTCTACAGACTGTGGCCATGAAAGCCTTCAAATACTGCAATCTGCATAATATACCTCATGCTTCTAGAAATTTATTTTAAATTGAAATGAGCTGTGAAAGTATGTGTTCATGGTTTTTAAGGGTGAAATGAGATGGAGGCTGTGTACATACAGTTAAACAATCTAGGAGAATTCCCCCACATTTGTTCTCCTGGTAGAGAAAATTCCTGGGAAATGCCTGAACAGACATTCAACGCTGAGCCCCTGAACAGCAAAGAGCTTGCAGTGCAAGCGCTGTGCAGTGTGTCTCCCCAGCACAATGTGGGAATTGTGAAGGGAGGTGTTCTGTTCTCTGCTAGGCTGGAGCAAAGTCTAGTGGGCAATGCTGTCCCCAGCGGAGTGGGGGGTGGAAAACCTTGGACCAGAGGATGGTTTCATAGTTTCATAGTAGCTAAGGTCAGGAGGGACCTGAACAGATCATCTAGCCTGACCCCCTGCCACAGGCAGGAATGAACGCTGGGTTCACAAGACCCCAGACAGGTAATCGTCCAACCTCCTCTTGAATGTGCCCAAGGTAGGGACAAGGACCACTTCCCTGGGAAGTTGGTTCCAGATTTTGGCCACCCTAACTGTAAAATATTGCTGTCTGATCTCTAACCTAAACCTATTCTCCATCAGCTTATGACCATTGTTCCTCGTCACCCCAGGTGGTGCTGGGAGAAAAGGGCTCTGCCTATTTGCTGTTGATCTCCCCTGATGAGCTTGTAGGCAGCCACCAGGTCCCCCCTCAGCCTCCTCTTGCTGAGGCTGAACAGGTTCAGGTCCCTCAGTCTCTCCTCGTAGGGTCTGTCCTGCTGCCCTCTCACCAAGCAGGTGGCCCTCCTCTGAACCCTCTCCAGGCTGGCCACATCCCTTTTGAAGTGCGGTGCCCAGTACTGGACGCAGTACTCCAACTGCGGCCTGACCAAAGTCGCGTAGAGGGGGAGTATCACCTCTCTGGACTGGCTTGAGATGCACCTTTGGATGCATGACAAGGTATGGCTGGCCTTGTTGGCTGCAGTCTGGCATTGGCAGCTCATGTTCATCTTGGAGTCAATAATGACTCCAAGATCCCTTTCTGCCTCTGTGCTTTCAAGAGGGGAACTCCCCAGCCTGTATGTGTGCTGTGGATTCCTTCTCCCAAGGTGCAGCACCCTGCATTTGTCTGCATTGAACCCCATCCTATTCTCATCTGCCCACTTTTGTAGTCTGTCCAAATCTAGTTGCAGCCTCTCTCTCCCTTCAAGTGTGTCCACCTTGCCCCACATCTTAGTGTCATCAGCAAACTTGGACAGCGTGCTTTCCACCCCCTCGTCCAAGTCGCTGATGAAGATGTTAAACAGTGTGGGCCCGAGGACCGAGCCCTGGGGTACCCCACTGCTCACATCTCACCAGGATGAGTAAAACCCATCCACCACTACTCTGTGGGTGCGCCCCATCAGCCAATTTTTTTTTATTCAATCCGAACACCAAAATAGGATAGAAATAACTCCATTGCACTACTCTCCTGTCAGGCATCCATTAAACAGAGTTCTTGAGAAGCCCCTGCTATCCTTAGGTCTGCACAGCCATCTCTGTTACATCCCTGCTTCCAATTATATAGTCTATCATGGTGCTGTGGCTGCTCTCAGAAGAGAACATGTACAGACATTCACTTTCCCGGGAGTGATTTAACCCTGGTTGTTCCCAGGTTATGTTTCTCTTGGAGTGCTCATTTTTGCTCTAAGAGAAAAATCCTGAACATCTGTACACTCGTGGTTTCTCCTGGGTCAGCAGCAACTCTCCTGGGAGAAACTGAGTATCTGGACATGACCAGTGTATTTGAGGCTAAGCCTTGTTTTAGAAATAAAATATTGGGGCTTGTGTGACAGGGAGCCCAGGGCTCCTGCTACGTTCAAGAAGAGACAGCCCAGGGAGATTCCCCAGGTGGAAGGGAACACTGCAGGGAAATAGGCAGCCAGGGGCCAGAGACTATGAGTGTCTATTGCAGAGCCAGTTGCTCTTCAGTATGACAACAGGGCAGAGAAGGCCTGAACAGCAGAGTGCCTATGGCAGAGCTAGCAGCTCTGTGATAGTACAATTGGGCAGAACCTTGCTTGGGGCAAGGAAGGCACTGCTACCAAGACTAGCACAGCAGCTGCAGGCTGCCCTGGAGACTAACTAGTAGACCCAAGTGGAAGTACCGGTGGCAGCTGGGGAGCCACATGACCTGCAAGGGCAGGGCTTAAGAACTATACAAGCCCAGCACTTGAGCTAAGGTGGGCCTGCAAGCAGCCGGGGAAGGAGCTCTGCCATGAGAGGACTATGACCAACTGGGATCTGCTTGACATGAGGATTGCAAGTAGGGAATAAATGTCTGGCTGGCTGCCTGGCTGGAGGGAAAGAGAGGGTTACACAGCCAGTAGGCTTAGAGCTTGTGCTGTAGCCAGTATGCTAATGTTTTTGTTATAGTTATACTGGTGGACTGGACTGAGCCTGCCAGGCAGGGCACATGCTACAGTACAGCCCAAGAGGGGCAGAGACTTTAGAGGGCAGGACCGGATGGGCAAAATGCAACTCGCCAAGGGATTTTATCCAGTCCACAGTGGGTCCCTTGGGCCTGCCCAGCCCAAGCATGGTATGTGCAGCTGGTCCCACTGCCCCCAGGTGCACAGCAGGGCTGAGGCAGTGCAGTAGCTGGACTCTGCTTCCCAGCAGTGGAGGCTCCTTTCGATTGCCACTACCAGTATCACTGCCGCCGCCATCGCCAATGGACCCAGCCCCGTTGCTTGGGCATCCCGGACCATCTGCCTCACACCCACCACCAGGGGCACCAGATGGAGCAGGCAGACTGGGTCTCTATGGAAATCAGCCTGGGACCACTTGGGCAGGGCAAAGGCAACCAGGCAGATAGGATGGGGCCACAGGCCAGGAATGGATGGGCCAGAAAGGCCAGAATTAGTGTCTGAGGGGAAACAGAGGCAGGTGGGGGGTGTTGTAAGGAACCTGTAGACTTGAGGAAGACTAAGGCTCACTCTGGGACCCTGGAGCAACTTCCCTTTTCTCCATATAAAGTATTCACAGCATGGAGTGGCAGGCAAGAAGAAAGAAGGAGGGTATCCGGAGAGCCTGAGCAGGGCAGGATTCACAGGACAACCAGAGGACATCATGGCCCCCCCGCCCAGGACTGGGCCCTGCTACAGCTTGGATTTTTTTTTTTAATTTAAGAATTGACAGTTTCTTTGAGTGGCAAAAAGATTATCCTGCCTTTCTAGCCTGACCAGTAGCATCCTTTGCCTCAGTGTAGGTCCTCTCCTTTCACGAAGGGTCCTCCCTAATTCTGACAAGTTTTAAATTTGTTTTTGGTGATTTAACCACCTGATGACCAATCACTGGCATCCTCAAAAAACATGCCAAAAAGTTTGAGCTATGGGTCTTTTGAGTAGCTTGTGTTACAATATCAGCAATAAACAACTAGGCAGGAGATCTCTCTTTTCTTTATTCCAAAGTACATTAAGCCTCCAAACCAAAGGTCCTGGTTTGATTGTTTCAGGTATCAGAAGCAGAATGACTAGTCTCATCTTTTTTTTTAAGTCCTGTTTAGATTAAAATCCTAAGAAAATAACCTACTTAGAGCTCAGCAATGACTTCACTAATTATACAACATGCTGAACTTCCCAAAACACTTCCATAATTGTTCCAATGGGAACCCAGCCAGCCACCGACAGAAATTCTTTTCCATACTCCATTGCTCAGGGAAAAAACAAACTCAGCTCTCTCCAAAAGCTGCCAGCCGGATTCCTTTTACAGCATTCCACAAAGGTACCAAATGCAGGATTTTTTGGAGTAGGAGAGAGATGGTAAAGCAAATTCCAGAGTCTGTGGTCTCCCAGAAAGAGGTAGTTAGCCACATTAATCTGAAGCCACCCAGTCAGCACGCACATTATTATTGTTGTTATTATTACCATCATCATTAATAATAATGTTGTTGTTGCTATAAAGGGGATCCAGCTTAGGTTCCTTGTTGACTTCAACTATGGCAAAATGACCTGAGGAGAGAGGCAATTTCATGAGGACACATGATTCTTGGGTCCAAGCTAAATTGATGTTCACCAATGATTTGATATTTGCACTCAGGGGTTGGCCTACATGGTGCTTACAACTGGCTCCAAGGACTGACATAAATAAAATAAAAATTATGCTGGGAAAATTCTTCAGCTGCACATCACTGATCTGATGACAAGCTGAATTGGAAGGCCTGAAAATCTACTACTAAGCAGAGGTAGAAACGCATATTAAGTAGAGAAGGAGTAAGTTTTAAGGTCTTTTTTTCCTCAAAAAAAGTTGGAACTTACCTCTTCTTGTAGAAATGCTGGTACCGACTTGCTCAGCCTTTTAACTTTTTCAGGATTTGAAAACTGGTTATCAGGTTTTGAAGGCACTGTGGAAACTGAAGAGCAGCAATAAAGTTTCAAATATACTCTGTGTTCTGGCATTAACAAGAACTAGGTCCCAGTAAGCAAAGCTTAGGATAATGAGTCTGGACAAAATGCACCAACATGCTCATGCTGCAACATAACATGTAGACAAAATCTCATAGATTTGTGGGATTTTAATGCCAGCAGCAACTATTAAGATCATCTAAATTTGATCTTCCTCATAAAACAGACCACAGAACCACCTTGAGTAGATAATGCCTTACATATTAGTAAATATGAAATTCTGCATCCTTTATAATATACAAATCTAGGCACTGCCTATGTTTTGACCAAAGGAGTTAGAGTTTAACTGGAAAATATTTTAAAAGTCTGCCTGATAATATTTGTATTTCTGATTTCAATATTCTTAATATTGAATCAAAAAAGCTAAACCCTGCCCTCCTATACACAGTTAGTTTCATTTATGTCAAAGGGTCACTCATGTAAAATGGGCAGGGTTTAGTTCTAGACCATGCTGAGTTTCAGGATGCAGTTACGATGTGGTATCTTGAATTATGATCTCAGCTTTTAAAATATATATTTTTAGTGAATTTCTCTTCCAAATTATGAATTTGAGTCATCACACAAAGCTGAAATGTGGGAACTAGTTTTAAAAATGCCAATTTGCACGAGGCCAGTTTTCCAATCTTTTATACCATGACCATACGAGGAGCCCCATCTCATATGATCCCCAACACCAGTTTAAACTTCTCGGGTTGAGGAGCCATCACATTTTCAAGATGCACTAATTCCTTTCACTGCGAAAATCACACTCACTATCCCAGGACAAAGTGCTATTCTGGTAACATGCCCTATGCAGGCAAAATGCATGCAAGATAAATGCAAGCAAAGTAGTCCAGAAACTGTAAGCCTTCCTAAAGGTTAATACATGAGCAAACATCACAAGAAAGCCCATCAGAAGTCAAGCACTTTCAATCCCACTTTCCTCGAGAAAGAAAATGTACCTTGTGTACACTAAAAACAATATTATCAGTGAGTTGTGAGTTTTGTAGGCCGCAGGCACTTAGTGGAGACTGACTACTAGTTAACTGATATTAAAAATAGGTTTAAAATTATGTCAATGAAGAATTGTATCCTTTTGTTTGCTGGAAGGATCCTATTACTCACTTCCGGGAACTTTTTCATTTTTCTCTTGTTGCTCATCTGTTTTCTGATCTGTTCAGAATTGCAACATTGAGAATAATACATCTGTCATTGAGTAGAAGAACTAATCAGGCACGGATAATAGCAGAACCAACAGATTTTATACATGAAAGTCAAGATCATCCTTTTGTCCTTCCTGCAATCATTAGACAAGATTTCCAAGAAGCAATAACAAACCCTTATTGCATATCTATATCTACATCTACATTGACACATATATATGGTTTTTCCTCTTTCAAGAATCTGGACCACAATGGCAATTGGAGTTTATAGGCTTCAAGGGAAGCCAAAGACTTACAGGTGGGTTTTCTAAAGAGTTTAATGCTGACATGACTCTCTTTGCACTGAAAACTGACAATTTGGCCAAGTGCCAAACACTGCTAAAAAATCGCACCTTAAATTTTTGTCAGTCCTCACCAAAACTGGCCTGTGCACAAGAGTAATTTTCCTACTTGGGAAGAAAAAGTTAGGTGTTTCAGCTAAATGATCAGATACAAACATATTTAGCATACAGCTTCCTTTTCCTGAAACCTATTACTTTGTATCCCCATTTCAGAAAAACACTCAAAAAGTTAAGTGTGTTATTTAAGTGGACAGCAGCACATGGGCCAAAAACGTGCCACTACAGACTAACTACAAACATGCAGAAAACTCCATAAAAATAAATAGAGCTTTTAATGACTAATTCTGGAACTGTGATGTCACTGTACTACAACTTAACAGGAAAGAGCAATATGTTACATACCACCATATTGTGTCAGTATCTTAGTATTTTAGTATCTGGTATTTTTTTCTGTGTACATCTTGAAGTACTGTGTTCTTAAAGAAGTTTTGTTTTAAAATTTGGAACCCTTTAATGATCCCATCTCCACCCACACACTCAAGGACATAAATGAGAATTTTGTACCTGTAACTGATACAGAATTTAGCTCGTACAATGCAGGTTAAGTCAGGAAATAGTCTGTATCAACAGTAGGTAAACCAGTGAATCATTTGATATCTCAGAGCAAGTGATTCTATTTTGTTGGACTGAGACAGTGATGCACACTGTCAACAATTGAAGGTGTTGACTGAGACATCTGGCTAGTGTTTTAAGTGATCACTAGGGATCATCCTCCAATGCATCATGTAACCATGCAAATATATATTTCAGGGGCCCAGTTCTGCACAATGTGGAATGACTGTATCATGTGCCCGTATTATACACTGTTAAATGGCACTAAGTATTTCATAATAATGGTGGGACATAATATAATGCCAACACGTTACTTTGGAATAAAAGCAGATCTAGAGAAATGCTACTAAAATATTCAAATCATGCAAAAATTTACTAAGTCTACAGCAACAGTGCAATCCTTAAATTTGACAACTTTTCTACAATAAGTGGAGGACACTGGAAAGGAATAGTATTCTCATGCAGACACAAATAAGATATTTACCATCTTCAGCACTAAGAACTAATTCTTCTCTTGGAATATCTACTTTTCCTGTATCTGCGCAGGGAAAAAGTAAAAGTAAAACACAGTTAGAAAAATCTGTTCAAGGTAGCACAGATTACAAGTGGCAACCACAGAGCTTAGAAGGATTAAAGTAAAAAAAATCAAAGCCACATGCAAGGTTAAATGCACAAAGAGATGCCTTCCAAAAGATAATTTCTACCTGGCTGATGAACTTATGCACTATAAAAGTAGTTCTGGTCAGTGGTAATGCAGTGTATACCAATATATTGCTGCACTGTTCCTGAGCAGTGATAGCTAGCTATGGGCATATATTGGCATCGTCATAAAAGGGTTCTTATGTCTTTATTTCAAATTTGTAAAATACCTGCAATTGCCTACACCGTCCCAAATATTCAGATCTACTCACAAATAAATTTTCATTATATTAAATTTTACATGTTGACACGTTAATTACTGGGCATAATGAGGAAGATGAGATTTTGAAAGATTCACAGCCCCAAGCTCATGTTTAAGCATATTTGACTGCATAGTTTGAATATGAACTCAAACCTAAATGCATTGTTGGTGTAAGTAGGCAAAACTTTATTGAAGTCAGACTTACTCTCACATACAACCCCCCATTAATTTTTGTGCCAAACCTTATGTGTACATAAACAGAGGAGAGTGTCCCTGTTGGGCATTTGCAAATCCCCTTACTTTATAACAAATAAAGTGTTCTGTATGATAAGCAAAGCCATGCTAACACAGATCAGTTTCAAGATCTGTTTCTTGGAAGAAGTCTGCTGCATAGACCAGGTCCCACTTAGAAAAAGAAAAAAAGAAAAAAAAAAAACCCTTCCATAAACATAGTAACTTATTTGTGAATAGATCTGGCAAAAGAGAAACTTAGAATACTTCAAGGAGTCTCACAAAAATATGAGTTCAATCTCTCAGTCTAAAAGAATAACATCTATAGTTTTACCTTTAAAAAGTTTAAAGCTTAAGTCTTCTTACTTATAAAAAAATTAGCACAACAGTGAAATCAAGAAGAGATATCTTCACTTTCCTATTCAGTGTCAGTGCAGATGTAACTGTTAAGATGGCTACAAGAATGGCAGAGAAGAGACAGAAAAAGGCATGCCTGTCTTAAGCACACTACAACTGAGACTTGTTTTTATATTAAGATATGGCAGCTGGCAATAACATTCAAAATGGACATGAAGTACTGAAATTGAGACTTCATAGAACGTACTATTTTGTTTTTCTCTGTCCTTCATCATATGCTTATTCTGAGAATAGTTTTCCTGCCAAATCCCACTGTTGGGATATGAAAGCGCAAGCGATTGAAGATGGATGGAGGAATAATACAAGCACTTTTAAGCTTAGGGGCATGGAAGACAGCAGACAAGCTTTGTGCTCACTTGATGTGGCTGATGAAATATCCTCTAGACTTTTGGAAGGCATTTTCCTATCTGCACTCCTTTTCAAAGCCATCAAAACAGGATTTAATTCTTCTTCTGAACCTGTTACAAGACAAAATACATGAACACTGCACATATAGACAGACATGCCTTTTGAAACGAGTTACTTAAAACAGCTCATGATTTCACAATGAAGATGCATTAAATCCTTACCAAATCTTTCCAGGTCTTGACAACTGCTTAAACAAGAAGTCGAAGAAAGTAGAACTAGAATGATGGACTGGATAACTCAAGATTATTGAACAAAAGTGCAGGTGGTAAAGACAAGTGTGATGGTTGTCATTCAATTTAATAGCTGATGCTACTTAGACAATTCCTGAAACAAGCTTTATTTTGAAAGTTGACACGTAAGACTGGTGTGTCAATGTTATAGTTAGAAATGCTGCCTTGAAACAAAACAGAACTAACTAGAATTGCATCAGCTTTACAGTGTTAGGGGCAAAGCTTTAGGCCCCGATACATAACTGTAGGGTCTCCATTGATCTCAACAGGAATTGCTGATTCCCTACGTAGGCACGTATTAAGTATTACAAGCCAGTCCCGATTCAGAATAGCACAAGTAAGATTCCTACTGACTCAGCTGTGTCCACAAATAAAACAAGAGTTTAACCAGAGAGCGCATCAGTAGTGTTGTGTGTCAGCTCTGCCAACAAGGGACTAGCTGTGTTCTTGAGGGGGGTTATCTGTCCTTTTGAAAAAAGGAAAAGGGGGTGAGGGGGGGAACCCCAAAGGACCATCTGTTCATTTTTATGTAGTCTGAAAATTGTCAAAAACTTTCAGATTGGAACCAACATTATTGGTAGCAATTTAATCCCAGTCCTCAGGGTCTGTTGGGTTATTTTATTTTAGGACAATCTCATACCTAATCCCACTTTTATCCTGCAAAAGGTCCAAGAAGTGATCCCAAAATGCAAAATTTCAGCAAGGGTCAAATCCTGAAGTACTGGAGTCCTTATTTGTTTATTTTCTTAGCCAAAGCTGCTTTGGCTCCAACAGGTGTTTTCTTAAGTCAAAAATGAAGAACTAGTTAAAAGTAGTTATCACAACTGAAAGCCTTGGAAGTTCATGAGCTTCTCGAGCTTTCCCGGTAAAGAGACCAGACCCAATTTCTCAGGAGGGGAAAACACCCCACCTCACTCAAGCAATTCCAGTGTTTTTACATTAGGGCTGCCTATCACATTTTGTACACAGGCAAACTCACTCTTGTGCTCAGTAGCAAGCAGGAGCAAGGAAGCCAGGGTGGAAACAGATATAGTCTTTCCTCGCCTTTGTGCAAACTGATGTCCATACCCTTTTGTTGTGCCAAAAATGCCCAAAATGTGTGGCAGCAACAAAGACAGCAATAGACTGTGCTGCTTTATTGCAGCAGATGTTCATTTGCTGGTGACAGGAGAGCGCGGGCAGTCCAAGCTCTGGATGTGCTCCAGAGGCTTGAGGGGCCTGATCCTGCACACTGCAGGAAATACCCAGGCAGGATTGAACACCTGCCTGACTTTCCTCACACCACAGGAAATCTCACTCCTGGAATCCCCAGCATCTGTGCTGCCCCATGCCTCCAAGCCAGAATCCACGCTGACCCATTTCACCTCGTGAAGCAAGGGTCGGCACAGGATGAGTCCTGGCATGGGGCACCAGAAATTCCCTTCCTCCCGTGCCTCCTAGGGGTGAGTCTCTTTAAACAGGGAATTCTTGGCTCCTGTGCTGCCCTGCTCCACCATGCCGGGACCCATGCTGAACCATTCTTCACCCAGAAGGACAGGTTAGGGCAGATCCTTGCAAGGAGGTGCAGGGCAGTGAGGGAGACAGGGAGTCCCTTAGCAAGAGGAACATATCACCCTTTGTTCTACACTGGGTGCCTGCCATGTGTCCTGCCACAGCTGATCCTCTTCAGTTTGGCAATGTCTGTTTCTAGCTTAAGAGACAAATAGGCTTCTTTTGGCTTCCTGAAGTCAGAGCTTGACATTGGAAAGTTTATCCAGATATCCCTTGCTAATGTAAAGAATGAAAATCCGTTTCAATTGCCTACTATGTCCAAAAGGAAAGTCCATAGCCCTAAGTTTAAAGTAGAAAAGATGGTAAAAGATTGCCATCTGTACCCAAATCAGAACTTTAATAAGGAAAAGAATGAAGAGCCATATGCAAGTCTGACCTTTTTAACCCAACATGCGCAAGGGTTGTTCCAGTCCAACTCCCCTGATTAAAAAGCAAATGTAATGCATGGTTCAAGACCCCTGGTAATTTCTGCATTAAAAAAAAAAAAAAACACAGCAACAAAAGCAAAACACATGCTTGGGTTCCCTACTGAAAAAAAAGAAAATACCCAAACACTTCAATTAATAACAACTGTTAAAAAGAAAAGTCTCTCCGACCTTTGGGTCACCATTCTTCAGGTTGGTTAATAAAAAAATTTAACCAGATTCAGAGACCCACAACCACGAGTTTAAGAATTAAAATGCTCACTAGTTGAACTCCTCCTGATTCCTGTCTGAGGATCAGAATTTCCATCTGAGGCATCTGAGCCTAAACTTATCGTGTCATCTTCATCGTCATGACAAGAAGGTGCTAGAAGCGGTTGTCCTTTGCTTATCTTGGGCGAGCTACCTTCAAGTGGTGTGCTTGCTCTTCTGAATCCAAGTGGTTTGCTCACTTCAGGTGCATTCTCAACAGTATCTGCGAAGGAACCACTTTTATCAGCCTCTCCTGCTTTTTCCTGTATCTTTAGCATTTTGATTATAGCTGTACTACTCTCTGTCTCTTGGGGTGCTGGTTCAGTTGATGCCAAGTTAATCAGTTCTATTTTCTGAAATGCACCCCTTTCATGGGGATCAGAAAGTTGTGGTTCATTTACTGCAATATCTTCCTTTAAAAAGGCTTTGTCATCTTGTTTCAAAGTCTCTCTCTTGAGTCCTATCTTAAGCTGTGTACGATAGCCACCTGAAGCCCTCTGACCATATGGTGACATTTTTATGGATGAAATTCCCTTTTCTGACTGGGACACTGAATCCTTAGGCTTTTCCTGTTCACCCCTCTCCTTGGATAAAGGAGAGGAAACTTCTGATGCTTCTTTAAGAAGTTTTTCTAAATTAATATTGAAAGTACTGTATTCTGGTTTTGCTGGAACAACAGTTTTTCCTACAGTTTCATTCACTCCTTGAACACAGCCACTCTCTTGTTGGGAAGGCTGCGTTCCATCTTTGTCCAAACTTTTCAGGTCAGCAGGTGGTATTTCAGATGCCTCTTTCAGCAGCTTCTGCAAACCAGTATTAAACTCTCCAACCTCAGATCTGGAAGGGGCAACAGATTTTTCTATTGCTTCACTTACTTCCGGAAGATGATTTATATTTTGTTGAGAGGTCAAGTCTACAGGTTGTACATCAGCAGTCCTCTGCACAGCGTTGTCCATACATCCCAGGCTACCAGGTGATGTTTCAGAAGCCTCCTTCTGTAGTTTCTCTAAACCATAATTAAATTCACTGAATTTTGCTTTGGATGGAGCAACAGCTTTTTCTATTATTTCATTTTCTTCTTGAGGATAGGTAATATCTTGTTGGGATACAGACTCCACATTCTGCTTAGGCTGTAGATTAACACTCACTATATCATGAGTTACAGTGTCTAAGCTTTTCTGTTCAGGATGCGAAAACAGAGAGGCTTCTTTCAGCAGTTTCTGCAAGCTAGCACTAAACTCGCCGACATCAGATTTTGGTTGAACAGTTGTTGTCACCATTTCATTTACTTCTCCAGGTTGGTAAGAAGAAGAAGCAGAGTAATCAGGATGTTCCTTTAGTTGAGAGCTTACATTTTTTCCACTTTTCCCATGTGAAGGTGACAGCACTTCAGCTGGCTCTCCATATAGTTTCTCCAAGCTTGTATCAAATGGCTTAACATTATCCTTGTATATAGTTGCAGTGCTCTCAGGGGTCTCAGCTGTTTCCTGGCTAAGGTCTATCAGCAGCTCATTACACTTCTGCTGATCTTTTCTAGAATTATCATCAGAGACTGCTTTGAGGTTTTGATCTGTATCATACAGTGAAGGAGAGATTGTGGATGCCTCCTTAAGTAGCTTTTTAAAATTAACATCAAAAGTACAGAGTTCAGATTTGTGTGGAATGACTGTTCTTTCTACAGTCTCTGAAACGTCCTTGCCAGGAGCCTGTGCTGTAGTCTGGGTGTCAACAAGAGCAGGCATGTTAGTATGCAACACTTTTTGGAAAGAATTTGGGCAGATTTTTTCAGAAGAAGTCTCTCTCTGGATACTTTCATCCTCATTTGTTGTCTGATATAAGGGATAGGAGGCCTCAGATTCCTTAAGAAGCTTCTCTAGACCAATTTTAGATTCTTTATGCACATCTTTGGGTGCAGCAACTGTTTTTTCAATCGTTTCCTTCACTTCTCGATTAAACAATTCCTCTTTCTGAGCACTAGGAGACATCCTGAGACTCCGTTCCATCACCTTTTCAAAGAATCTTGCTTGCCCAGGTGAAGAAACCATCCTTTCAGAAACGGCTTCCGGTGTGCTCAGACTGGAAGAAGATAATGGTTCAGAGGTTTCCTTTAGCAGCTTTTCTAGGCCAGCATTAAACCTATCAGGTTTTACTTCTGGTAGGGCAACTGTTTTGTCTATTGTCTCTAAAACCGGTTCCTTAGGAGGTTCTGCTTGTTCTTTGACGTCCATGGGGGCAGTCTTGCTCTGAACCATTTTCACAGAAGAATTTTGTTGTTCGTCTGCTCCTGCCTCACCTCTTCTAGCATCCTTCTCACCAGCTGGTTGGTATGGTGGAAAGGAAGACTCAGATGTTTCTTTAAGCAGTTTCTGTAATCCACTGTTAAATTTACTATCCTGTGTTTTTGACAGAGCAATACTTTTTTCTATATATTCTTTAACTTCCCGATCTGGAGGATCCACTTTTTCTTCAGGTTTTGAGATCACCAATTGTCTTACATTTTTTTCTACTATTTCAACAGCTTCTGCATTTCCCTTTGAGGTCATTTTCAGTGACCAGGGAACGGGCTGCCCTTCCTGTGTAGATGATCCTTTGAAAGTTAGCTTCTCCGTTCTTTCTCTTTGGGACAGTTGGTTCTGCTGCTGAATCACTGGGTCTTCTCTGCTTGGCTCAGTTTTGGTTTCTTTAACCTCTTTTGACTCCTTTTTGTAGGCTACAGTACTGACAGTATTTGGTAAAGTACCTTCATTTTCCTGCAGTTTAACTCCACTACCCCAAAATTGTCTCAAACTCTGAAACTGCAAAGGATTAGAAATTTGATTCTTGGACTTCTCATTTATTTTTTCTTTTAAAGACAAAACCTTAAAGTTGGCTTTCTGTTGCGGAGAGGTGGTATCTTTTTCTGAACACATTTCTAGCCCATCTTCATACTTGCTTTTTGAGGAGATGGGAGAAATATTGATTCTTGGGGACAAATTATTTGCTTTTGGCAATTTTGCAAATTCATTACCCTTCCCATCAGATGGAAGTGTTTTTGTTAGTTTTTCATCTGCTTTAGGTTTGGATGTAATATCAAATCTAGTGTTAGAGGATTCTAGATATTCATCTTCAGATGACTGTTCATCACTAGTTAGTTCAACTCTTCTGAAGGCAACCAAACTAGACTCGCTTTGGTCTTTAGATTCTTTTACCTTGCTACTTTCTTCAAGCATTGTGCTAATAGCTGCTGGGCCCGTATGTAAAATAGCTTCTTTATTTGGATGCATAGGTGTGGCATTGTCCCTTTCCCAGAGTGCCCTAATATCCTTTACTTTTCTTTTTTCTCTTGTGGCCTCATCTGGAATAGTTATCTGAGCTGACTGCTTAAATTCATACTGTTGCAATTCATCCGTTTTCCCCCTCAAAGTATGTGGATCTAATGGCATGCTTCCTTGATCAAGCAAGTCAGGTTCTTGCTCTAACCTTTTATGATCAAATCCAGTTTGTAATGCAAAATTGCCTTCTTTCAAAGGTGATTTGACAGTAGACATATTTTCCCCTTCTTCCTTTATGTTGGTTTGTATGTCATTTTCCAATGACTCTTCAATTAGGTTTCCTGTAGAGCTAAAACTCTTTGAACCTGTCTGGCCTTTGCCATCTTTAAGAAACTTAGGTTCTTTACGTGCTTCTTCATTGTATCTTGTTTCTTCTCTCTCTCCATTTTGATTATGTTTTTCCTTCTCTTTCAGCATTTGCTTTTCTTCCGTCTCAAGTCCTCTCGGCAAAACACTGTGTGATTTCCCATTCTCGCCAAATGAAAATTCTCTTGTCGGTTGCTTGTTTTCATCCTTGCATGGTTCTCCATTATCTGCAACTGTCTTGGCTGGAAAGTCTGGTTCTTCTTTGGGTTCCCTCCCCTGAGATTTCTCTGACTGAGTTTTGTCATCGCCAGCACTGGAGCTTCTTTTAAACCAGTCTAATACTTTCGATATGGACTCATCAGCTGCTTTCATAAACTCAGCAATGTGTTTATCAGGCTGGGAAGTGGTTTTGGCACTTTGACCCTCAACAAGAGCAGGCTTACCTTGCTGAAGGTCTGCACGTGGCACCTGAGGGGATTCTGTCTTAGCAGAAGGCAGGGGCTGATCTGCAACACAAAAAAAAGCCTTTCAAAGCTGAGGAGGAAATAACATGCAATTTTGTTGAAATAGGTTTTCCACCCATCTTGATAAACTAAGCCTAGCAGCATTGGTTGCATTTTGAAACTACTCCTTCAAAAGTGAAGGCAGCAAGCTAAAAACAAAATATCTAAAGAACAGAGGGATACATGTCAGGGTGGGGGATTCTTGGGAACCCATCAAAATGCTATTGCCAGTATGTAGAAAGGGTTAGATCAGGTTATTCTAACATGGGGCAAGTTCCAGATGTTCTTACACATAAAAACAGAAGTTTAGACCTGATACATTTTTCTTCTCTTTTTTTGAATGCACCAGATAGCAGGCAATGCTCAGCATTTTTCATGCCTGGGTTAAGATGCTTCCTTTGAGCATCCCTATATTACTTCATTCCCCTCCCCCAGGCTCCACTACAAGTTACATAAGGTAACACACAAAGGTTTATAATACACCCCATATATTCTTTTTTTCTGGGCAAGATCACCATACATTTGCAGGGAAGCATACCAATATATTGGCAGACAGCTAGTATCATTGATGTTCTAAAACAAAACTGAAACAATTTAGGAGTAAGAGCTTTAATGCAAGCTACAATTTCACAAAAATGTTTGCTCACCAGACAGACAGTTTTGTTATTAGCTTATTAGTTATCGCATGGTAATGATAAGCGATCCCAAACCCCTAGGTTACAGTTCCCTTGCTACCGACCTAGCAGTGGACTAAATTCTTTAGTTCTTATATAGGCAAAATACCAGTTTTCAAGAAAGGAATTTTGCCAAATAAGGACATGCATTTGGTGCACTAACTGGGATCCCAAGAAAGTAGAGCTGGAAGTGACCACATGAGGTCATGTAGTCCAGCTCCCTGCTCAAGGCATGGATCATCCCTGACTAAGCCATCCCAGCCAAGGGTGTGTCTCATCTGCTCTTGAAAATTTCCAGGGATGGAGACTCCATGACTTCTCTAGGTAAGCTGTTTCCAGTGATTAACCACCCTCACAGTCATGTCTCCCCCCACACAGGCTAGCTAATAAATATATGCATTCATGCATTGAGAGAGGGACAGCATTAATCACTTTTTCAAAAACTGAGAATATATTCCCAAAACGTATTGTTCACACAATATTTAGAATGCTGGAAGATAAGCAGTTTAGTATGTGAAACTGGTACATTAGTAAGCAAGCAGAAATATTCTGGATAATACAGAAAACTTATTCTTGCAATTAGAATATTAACACAGGTTATTTGCAACTGCATTTAAGATTTGTATGGCTTAACTCATTAACCACTGGTTCTCTTACCAATAGCATTCTTGAGCAACTCTGATTCAGGGTTCAGGTGAGGCTTAGATTTGTTTGGCAATGTCTCGCCGACGGTTGGTACATTTGTGCCATTTACTGAGATCTTGCTGGAGAAGGCTGTTGGAGTCATGAGTTCTGCAGAAGGGCTTTTTTCTGGCTGTGAGGTTTCAGTAGCTGATAAGCTTGACCCTTCAGCATCATGAGAATTCAGCACTAACATGTTTTCTTGCAAAATGTCTCTGCCTGTCACATTACTATCTAAAGCCAATGAAGAAGAATGGGAAGGTTTTACAGCAAGAGACTGTTCATTCCCAGGAGCACCCGATCTACCAGTGTTACTTGCACTATTTTTATCATCAAATTCTAATAAGTCAAACTCTCCTACTTCTTTGCCTTGATGCAATGGGGGACTCTGCAGTTGCTCACTCTCACCTATACTATAAGAGAACCTGACTTGTTTTAATCTTTCCAATGAATTTTGTGAATTGTCTTCTGCTACTTCTATAGGAGAATTCTTCTCAGCTACGCCTTCAAGAATAGCTGAAGTGGGCACACCATTCTTATTTTGGGCATCCAACTTCTGATTAACACGAAGAACTTCTGAATCAGTGGAACTGGAACTTGAGCTGCGTTTCAAAATGCCCCGAGGTGGTGTACTAGCCCCATTAACCTGATTTGTCCTTTTGGCAGGCTTGGGTAAAGAGGCATCTTTCTGCATCATGGGATCTGTTATTTTACAGATGACTTTCCTGGCTTTTGGTACAGGTGGCTGATCTGTAGGTTTCTGTGATTCATCACTTGGTTCTGTAGGAGTTTGCCTAGGTTCCTCAGACCCACTGTTAAGCAACTTTGTCTTGGATTGGCTGTCCTTTGAAGGTGAGAGAGAATCTGCAAGACAAGACATGCTTACAGGGAAAGGGTAAATAACAATACACCACAGAACAGATAAGCCCAACAATATGCATTTAGCAAAAGCATAAAGACTTCTACAGAGACACCTGCTGCAATTGTTCATGTATTTCCAGGATGCAATGGAAAGACGCAGCCCAAAAATTTGACAATATAAAGACAAAACCCATACTTAAAACAAAGATATTTGATTTAATTTGTTTGTAATGAGGAGTCCTAACTGGTAGGAATGTTTTGATTAGTTATTTAATGACTCTTAAAATCTACTGTGCTGATTTTACATTTAGTCATCTAAATTCCTGTATGGGCCCAACAATTTTATTTTGGGGTTTTCTATTTGCATCTACAGGAACTTAAGACTTTTTAATGGTCATGGAGAACTATGTAAAACTTGGCACGGTTAACTCCCCAGCAGCTTAAGTGAGTCTGATGTGCAATATTTTAATTTTTCCTTTCCTATTATTAAGTATCATGGTAGGAGGCAAACGAGTAATTTTGTACCCTGGCCAATATAATCTAATTACAATTTTGCAAGATTATATTATGACATGTCATCTCTGACACCTTTTTTGGTTACAAAAAAGGATGCTGTCACCAAAAAAGGAGCCTAAAATAAACAAAAGAAAACAAGAAAGGCTGGGTACAGTAAAGGGGAAGAAGAAATCAAAGGCTGCAGCCTGGGCTTGATCTCTTGCTGCTAAACTATGAGGAGCAGTGACTGGGAAAAGCACAGAGGCAGCTATGCACAATATAAAGGAAGATATCATCTTAAGCTGCTGTCTGACTAGCCCCAAAAGAGCCTCTCTCAGTGGGAGACTGAATGACTTTAGGCATATAGAGGGGCACAGGCAAGAGGGAAAGGGATAACCAAAACTCAAATATTTTTGAGTGATGATTCCCTCAGTATGTTTAGAGATTCTTATATATATTTTAAAAAACACTTGAATTGAACTGGTTGGTTGGTTATATGACAGGCTCATCTACAGAAGTTAAAACATGGCACTCTGTTTTATTCCAGGATACCAAAAGAAAAGAAAACCCTCCACATAACTCTGATGCAGCAACTTTGGGAAAGACAATTATTATTTAGCACAGCCAAGAGTATCACCAAGTCCATATAGGACATGAAAACAGATACACTTACCTTCATTTGGTGTCCAAGATAGACCAGCTGTTCCATTTCCTGACTCCCTGCTCTTTAAATTATCATCATCAGGTAAAATAGAGTCATTAAAGGGATTTTTCCTTTGCTAGAAGAGCAAGGACATAAATCGTGCATCAAACATTTAATGTCACTTTAGTTTTGGTTTAAAAAAAAAAAAAAAAAAAAAAAATCCCATGGAAGCACAGTAATTTTTTTCCAGCAGAAAAGCATTTAACTGAGTCTCTTATAAGATGATGAATTCACAGCATTACAAAATAGTGAAAGTAATGGCAATTTCTGACATGTTCAGTGACTGCCCAACTTTGCCTTGTTGAAATCACTGGGAACGAATCCAGGCTGGTGATACTTAACCTTTTAGATCAGTGGGGTACTTGCTATCTGGCTGCACTGTGGGCCCCCAGTCCTCTCCAGTTGGGAAAGTGGCTGGCAAAGTCAGAGGGAGGGCTGTGGAGGTACTGGCAGCCTGGCACAGGGCAGAGAAGGTGATACATGAGGGCAAGATTTTTGCCACTGATCTCTTGTGCTATGGATTGGATCCAATCACTTTAGGGGCAAATTAGGGCTTCAGGATGTTGGTTGAGCATGACTGATGTAGAGCAACAGAGGGAATTTGAATATCCCACCCTTTGGGAACTATAGTTTCATCTCTGCTACTGTGACTTCCAGAAAGTATTCAGACCCACAAAAAGATTCTAGCTAGATTGCCTTTGTTTTCCTCACTTTCCAGTTTTCTTTCATGGGCAAAGTAGGTGGCATTAGAACCACAAATCTACGGATCACAATTTTTTTTTACCATCGAAACATGAACAAGAGCTACATCTCTCCAACCTTTTATACACCACATACTGCTGTGGGGCACACGGATACTCCAGATGTCCCAACATTTAGGATATGGGAGGTATTTGTGGCTGGATTCACTTCTGCTTTTCTAAAACATATGAAACTGTACAACATACTGACTAGATAGGATAGAAGAATACTCAGATGCATGACTCGCATAAAATATAGAGCTAGTGGAAATCCTTTAAGAAAATGTTTCCCTGTCGGAACACCAACTTCACAAAATCAAAATATTTCACAAGACACCCGCCTTTGGAAGAACGAAGGAAAGAATGGTTATTTTTTTGGTTGGGGAAAAAAAGTGAATGTCTGACTTTGTCCTAAAATCAGGACAAAAGTTTTGCAAGCAGAAAACTGTATTATGGATCTAAACCTTAGTACTAATAGACCTCCTCTGGCATGACTGGTAATAATAGGTGACCATCTTCTAAACTGGTTTAAAAGCTGGTTTTGCCAGCTATCACAATGTGCTGCTATGCAGCCTGGGTTATAGTCAGATGGCTTTGCACCGACTAACGTTCCAAGATATTCCCACTGTGATGTTTCCATAAGGCAAAAATACCCAAGTCCTTCATTTTATTATCTTTAAATTCTTTACTATCATTATTAGCAAAGTGACAAAAAGGCACACAACAGCTTTAAGAAATGCTTCCTTGATACTTCAATACTGGGCCTACCTTTGCTGGCGACACTGCTGCCTTCATGGAACTTTCCTGTAGTCTGTCTAATGTTACTGTCGAAGCATGAGAACTATGAGAAAACAAAAGTTTATAATGAAATCAGGACATCATTTTAGGACTGGAGAAATGAAAATTACGGTGCAGATTTTTTTAAAAAAGCAACTTCAGCATGATGGCATGATCTTCTACACAAATCTGTTCCTTTCAGTTCTGAAAACAAGTTTCTTCCAGTCTTAACCTATGAAGGAAAGGGATGAAATTTTCCTTTTCCACACTCGGTCTTACAAGCAAAGACATTTTGGCATGAAAATTTGATACATCTTTACACTGGCATGTAGTAGTAGTAGTAGTAGTTGTTAGAGATGCACCAGTACATCAGTCCGTATCATACTGGCACCAATAAGAGGAAAATTTACATTATCGGCAATCAGCTTTTTTTGGCTGGTTATGACCAAAAATGTCACCAATAAATGCCACATGCATGCACGCAGCCACAGCATACATGTGGTCAGGCTGGCAGCTTGGAGAGCAGTGTCCGGCTGGTAAGTCTGTTGACGGGGGGGGGAGGGAAGGGCCATGGGGCGGGCAGATGGAGGCCATCACAGTGAGGGAGGGAGTGGGGCTGGGGCAGGCACTGCCCAACCAGGGTGGGGCATGGGGATGGAGCCACGAGCATCTCATCTGGATGGCGCTGGGGGGGGTCAAATCCCACCACTACGTGCACCCCCAGGGGAGGCATGGGGGCGTGTGCCCCCCGGATCTGTGCACAGGGAGAGGGCAGGCTGCAGCTAAAGACTGGGGCTGGGGGCGGGAGGGGTGCTGAGCTCTTTCCAGTGCAGGGGTTGGGCTGGGGCTGCACTTGCCGCCACCACCCACTTTGAAAGTGATGTTTCATTTTGATCACAGAAAAATGTGGATTTTGGGTAAGCTTCTTTTAAATCCAAAAATTGGAGATTTTTTTTTTTTAATCAGAGAAAACCAGGATCCCTGGTAATGACCTTCCAAACTGATAATCACTAATGCTTCAGAGCATTAAATAGCAGCTGGAAAGAAAAAGTTAAGTGGCACCAACAAGGGGGCGGGGGCAGAAATGAAAAAGTACTGGACTATTTTAAGGCAAGTTTGATAAATTAAGATTCAGGCAGGAGAGCTGTGCTAGTTGTCACAACCCAAAAGGTGTGATTTTTGTTTTTGTGTGCTTCGGCACTGCTAAATTGTCCCCGCTAAATTGCAGCTTCCTTGCACAGTGGAGTTTTCTGCTGCAGAGGAGAACCCCGGTGCAAGGGAGAATTTCCCGCCAATTTGGAGCTTGTTTTGCAGGGTGCATTTCTTTCCTGCAGAGAGGGGATGCTTGTTGCAAAGAGTTCCCGCCATTGGTATGATACTTCGAGTCCCATTATTGGCCAGTTCTAAATTATTCACACGTGGCGGCTAGTGATTGGCTTGCTAGCCGTATAAAAGGCTTGAGTGGTTTCCGCCCAAGTTGGAGGACTCCACGAACAAGGGAGGAGGAGACTTCACGCTGTGTGAAGATCTCTAAGCGCTGCGGATCCTCACGGACCCAGTGCATTTGAAGCAGGCAACGGAGATCTGATCAATCTCTAGCCTCTCCCCGTCGCCGATAGAATTCCTAGACCTACCCCTCCTGCACGCTACGAACCGGACCCACGGAGCCTAGCAAACTTCGTGTGGATGAGTGAACAGAAGAACCCACGGAGCCTGACAAACTCGTGTGAGCCCTTACGATCGGCCTCAGAGCTCTTCTACCCGGGTTCGAGTCCTGCAGGTTTATTTTCCCATCGCCGGAACCTTATGCGACGTACCCTCGTGTTCTGCAGGTTCGAGTTTTTGTTTTCTTTTCTCTTTCTGTAACTGCAACTTAATCAAGCTTTCCAGCCTACACCATCGCCATCTCGGTGTAAGTAAACAATCTTTTAAAATTACCGATACGCGTCCGTGCCTAATTCCAGAGCGAAGGCCTTCCCTCTCCGCCCCCGCGTGCCCGGGCTGCTGGCCACAGCCCGCGTGCAGCGCGAAAAAGGGCTCGGGGCGCTCCCGGCCCGCACACTAGTAACTTCAGAAGAGGAAAACTTCTGTGCCATTTATGCACAGGATGCTATTTAAAACTTACAATAGTATATAAGCTGTATCCACTATAGGAAACCTTCTATTCAGCTCTACTATTACAGAATTCAAAACAGACTGACTGACTGATATTGATTGGTTGGTTTTACCACAGCTATAAAGAAATTAAACAAATCAAAGGATGGGGGGAAGAGGAGGGGAACAGAGGTTTATTTTTAAGTGGGAACTGACAGAACAACTCTTATCCATATGCCAAGCAATGAACGTTTTTACAGAAAAGTAACATTGCCATCCCATTTTCCAGTTATACAACCACTTTAGGAACCTGAAAAAGCAGGTATTTTCCATAGATGGATACAAAATGTTTCCTCTGAACACATCGCAATTTCCAGTTAAATACCATTAAAGCTCTGTCAGTTTTTCTTCAACTTTCTTAAGCTGTTTTCCATCATGGAAACATTCGCATAGCATTATGACAGCAATGATCAGTTGTTCTGCAGCTTTTTTCATGTACACTTAACATATCAGGTGCACCCAATGCCTTTTCTCCACACATTATCTGAAAAGGACAATTTTTTTTTTTTTTTAAAAAGGCTAGGTCATGAAAGTTATAACCCCACCCTCATTTTAAACAAGGTGATACTGTTTGTGTAGTTTAGCTGCCAGTTAAAAAGAACATGGTAAAGACTTCCTCTTCCAATCTCTACTACCTAGGAGTGCGGTGGTAGATGTCTTAACCAAATCTCTCATTTTAAAAGAAAAAAGCCATATAATTTTAAGGCAACAGTGCCTTACATAGCCTATACGTTCAGATTCATAACAGAAGAGCAAGAAATGGTACATTAAGAGTTCTATTTACAAAGAAAACATTACCCATCAGAAAGGTTAATACTGACAAGATGCACATGTTGGCATAAAAAGGATTAAAGAGACTACGCACTACCACAGTGGGTCTCAAAACATCAGCTCACTCAACTCACACGGAAAAGTGGTGAAGAAACAAGAAGAAGGTGGTGAGGAAACAAGGTGATCAGCAATTTACACAGCACTGGTGACTTACACAGCAACCTACACAGCATTGCTTAGATCAGGAGTCTCAACTCCCAAATCCCTGGCTGAAATCAAGGTCTTTCTGCAACTTGTTCAGGTAACACAACATAGCATAATCCCTCAGGAGATAAGTAAGAGAAAGGAAAAGGAAGAGATAAGAGAAAAGGGAACCACATATAGATGTAAGTAGATGGCAATGTGGTTTTAGGAAAAAGTAAATTTGAAAGAAAGTGCAGTTTGCAAAAGGAAAAGTGACCAAAACTATTCACTGATTGAGGCCAACATTTTGTGACCGGTTTCATATAGAAAAACAAGACTGGGGGGGGACAGGGAATTGTGAGGGGTGGAGAAAAGGAGGAGGAAGAGTTGAAGTTTCGTCATTTCCCTAAGCAAAGTGTTCCAAAAACTGGTTTGTAAATGGCAAGAGTTTCTAATATTTTATTTTAAACCTTGTATTGAAATAAAGACACAAAAAAGGAAACATTTTTGACAAAAATGAAACATTTTTGATTGAACTAAGAAGCATTTCTTTCTGTGTGTGCTTTGGGACTAGGATTCAGAGAGATCTCGATAAATTGGAAGATTGGACCAAAAGAAATCTCATGAGGTTCAATAAGGACAAGTGCAAAGTCCTGCACTTAGGACCAAACAATCCCATGCACTGGTACAGGCTTGGGACCAATTGGCTAAGCAGCAGCTCTGCAGAAAAGGACCTGGGGGTTACAGTGGACAATAAGCTGAATCTGAGCCAACAGTGTGCCCTTGTTGACGAAAAGGCTAATGGCATACTGGGCTGCATTAGTAGGAGCGCGGCCAGCAAATCAGGGGAAGTGATTCTTCCCTTCTTTTTGGCACTGGTGAGGCCACATCCAGAGTACTATGTCCAGTTTTGGGGGCCCCACTACAGAAAGGATGTGGACAAATTGGAGAGAGTCCAGCGGAGGGCAACAAAAATGGCTCTGGGGCTGAGGCACATAGCTTGAGGAGAGGCTGAAGGAACTGCGCTTATTTAGTCTGGAGATGAAAAGACTGAGGGGGATCTAATAGCAGCCTTCAACTACCTGAAGAGTAGACACCTGAACATCCAAAAGAGGATGGAGCTGGACTGCTCTCAGTGGTGGCAGATGACAAAAGAAGGAGCGATGTTCTCAAGTTGTAGGAAGGGAAGTTTAGGTTAGATATTAGGAAAAACTCTCTCGCTAGGTAGGTAGTAAAACTTGGCTGGGATGATGTAGTTGGGGATGGTCCTGCTTTGACCAGGGGGCTGGACTAGATGACCTCCTAAGGGCCCTTTCAATCTTAATTTTTTATAATTCTATGCAAACACTGGAACAGGTTATCCAGAGAGATTGTGAAATCTCCATCCTTTGAGGTTTAAAGATCCAGCTGGACAAAGCTTTGGCTGGGATGATCCACAGGTTTTCCTTGATTTATGCAAGTTCTGTATATGCAAATTCACTCTTGTGCAATGAGCATTTTTAGAGCCCTAATTCGTTGTATGAGACATAAATTCTCTGTTATGCGATTGACATAGCGCCCCCCCCCCACCCCCAAGCAGGTAAGTCTGTGGGGGGAGGGGAAAGGGCCATAGGACTGGGGCCCCACTAACCCCAGCCCCTGCTGCAGCAGCCTCGGAAGCAGCCGGCCCCAGTTGCCTGCAGCCACTGGGCTGCGCCGTGCTTCACCTGTCCCCCTGCACCTGGGCTCTGCTTGTCCCCACTCGCCCCTGCTCCTGGGCTGTGCCATACTGTGGTGCAGACAGCTGGTGTCGGTTGCTCCTGGGACTGCTGCACCAGGGGCTGGGGTGAGCGCGGACAAGCAGAGCCCCAGGTGGCACGGGGTGCAGCATTCACCCCAGCCCCTGCTGCAGTGGCACCCGGGCCCCGGGTGATCCCCTGCCCTCCATTAATGCTGACTTCGTGAAGGAACATCTTG